TAAGATTAATCTGTATTCTATAACACACTATCATTTATGGCAACTCAAGGTGAACTACCATATTTATCCATGGACTATGTATTTCAGATTCTTGTCATAGATGTTTGCAAAGAAGAAGGGAATACACCGTACAAGCTTGCAGATGGTACAAAATATTCACCAATGTATATGATGAAACGTGCTCTTACTCTCTTCTTGCAAAATAAGCATGCCATTGATTCACGGCATAAGTTCGCTCTGATGCTGTTACATGAGTCACCAGTATGGGTATGTTTCATGTGTTGAGTTTTACGGAATTGTTGAAAGTTATAATTAAGGAAACTTTAGTTGAACCTTTGCACTTACTTATTTCATTATCACCGTTTTTGAAATAAGTCTTTGCTTATTGCACTGCTGCTTTTGTACAGTGTTTTTATTTAAATAAGTTTTAGATATGAATGGGATCCCCAGGTTTTGTCAAGATTAAGAAGAAATCTTGGAAGGGCCTAGATATTATATATATATTCTTCAAAATTTATATATTGTTAAACCTGGTTTTCCAATAATGAGATGTCTCTGGTCTGAGGTTTGTTACCTTTTTTGTAATAAGTTTTTTCTTCAGTTTGCCTATTTTATTTTGACATTTTAGAGTGTGAATGAATTTACATCCACCCCCGCCATAAGAGCAATTTATTAAGTCATATGTTTAATATCTCTATATACTTAATCCTCAGCAACAGCTTTAACAACAGCAGTAGAGGAAGGATCTGTTGGAGTTATTATAGTCGTAGTAGGTGGTAATAAAAGTAGTTGTTGTAGTAGTAAAAGTAGTAACGTAACAAATGATCTTTAAGAAGGATTAGAGGCAAATTCTCTGTAAAACAGATGATAGTAAGGATTAGTAATAGTTGTGGTAGTAGTGGTAATATTCTTACTGGAAATTTCAGCTCCATGACTTCACAAGTAACCCAAAAGACATAATCGCTGAGTTGGATGAGTTGGAAGAAGCCGTTACTTCGGGATCCCACTTTGACCTGAGCCATCTCTTCAGCCTCATTGCAAATCAGGTGTCAGTGCCTCATTGCTCAAACCCAGCTGTGGCTCCTCCGCCCTACGTCATCAGAACGAGTAAGGGGGCAAATGGGTGTTAAAAATGCAGTGGCTATGATCATACGTGAGATGAATTTTTGTACCTGGTTATGAAGCCAAGAAACGGATTTGTAAATTGGACTTTGCTTGCTTCTAAGACAGGTATTGAGATATTGTTATAAGGACTATATTCTTGCCACAAGCCTCAAATCAGCACCATTACTTTTATTTCAGTCATGCTCTATGGAAGGTCACAGTGTTTACCGCAGTTCCTGTCGGGTAAAACGAGCTTTACCAACCTGAGTCAGAGCCCGCATTACTTCCTTGATATTTTGTATATGCATGAGACTCCAAGTGATGATAATAAGTGTGAGGTCAGTTGAACTCTAGTAGAGTACAAATTAGTTAAGGAGTGTTATCATAATGTATCTTGGAAACGGTACAAATGGGATTTAATAACTGTGACAGTGCAAGAGATGACACTGTCTCATTTGATTAGATTTTCACCTGAATTACACAGTGTTATTATGATTATGATTTGATTTGAAATAGGTGCATCTTTTGAATTGTGATATTAATTCTCATTTATATCTTCTATACATATGTCACAGCAAACTCTGTATGTATGTATATATGTGTGTGTGTGTGTGTGTGTGTGTGTGTGTGTGTGTGTGTGTGTGTGTGTGTGTGTGTGTGTGTGTGTGTGTGTGTGTGTGTGTGTGTGTGTGTGTGTGTGTGTGTGTGTGTGTGTGTGTGTGTGTGTGTGTGTGTGTGTGTGTGTGTGTGTGTGTGTCTATATATATATATATATATATATATATATATATTATATATATATATATTATATATATATATATGTATGTATGTATGTATGTATGTATGTATGTATGTATGTATGTATGTATGTATGTATGTATGTATGTATGTATGCACACACACACACACACACACACACACACACACACACACACACACACACACACACACACACACACACACACACACACACACACACACACACACACACACACAAGCTTATTGCATTAGCTGTTGAAACCATCTACATTTATACTCTAGCTTCACATGAAATGTAATCCAAGAGATAAAGATTTTTATATGATAAAATGGATGCATCTCTGGCGGGATTTTCATGACCTACACTTTCAGGGGATCTTCGACTTGTTGTGTGGACTGGATGAGAGCGGTTGGAGCTATGTTTTGGAAGTATCTCGCAATGCCACCAAGCTGCACAATCATTGTGGTTCTCTCCTTGCTCACCCTCTACAGCGACCCACACAGAAGGATGTGCATTATACACTCGTAGCAACAGAGTAGTATGTCGGGGTTTTCTAGTCATTACTGCTATTGTTATGATTTTTTATATTATTGTGTTTTGTATCATTATTAAGTATTTTTTAATGCATTTATGGTATGATTATTTGCTTATATATTTTTGAAATGTGTTCCTTCATTGATTGATTTTTTTAAAAAGTAATTTACTGTATATATATGTTTTTGATTTTGTATGACAGATACAGAGAGAGAAAAGTGGTGAAATACAGATGAATATGGATCAAAAGATATGATCAAGCAGATGCAAGGTAACAATTAAAGATAAATATGTAGACAAACACTCAGAGATAAATATTGAGATAGACAGACAGACAGAAGGAAAGTTGTTTACAGATAACTGTCATATTTTGTAAGCTACCTACTAGTAATAAAATCTGCCATGAAAATGTACTAATGTGTATGAAATATGTATGATATTTGCACTTTTTGATAAGTAAATGATAAAATGTCACTTTCTTTTACTCTTGGTTCCTTCTCCATAGAACATCAGAGCAGTCTAAAGCTAAAGAGAACTGGATTTAGGTTCAGAATACAATGGATTTTATTCCAACAAAGCTTATTTTGCTTTTATAGATATTTTACTTGAAAAGTAATTGAGATTTATGGTTGGCTACACTGGCATATTGCAAGTGTGTATAGCTGTCAATTTACAGTTTGTGTCAAATTCTGTCAAAAACAGAAACGGTGTAATTTTTTTCCAGGTACTGTAGTAAATTGGTAATGAGAAACTATCAATCCACAAGTGAGTGTACATGTACTGTTGTTTGTAATTTTTCCAAAGATTATGAGAATTCCTGTTTATACATGATATGTTCATTCCAGTAAAACAAGAGGAGGGAGCATTGTCAGGAACCACTTGTATGATTGGCTGAAGGCAACTAGGAGGGTACAAAGGGTATAGGGGATTGCAGATGTTTGTGGAGGGCAGATGTACGTGTCATATACCAGAGATATTTAGTTTGTATTCACTACTTTAATTCACTTGTCAGTGAGGCAGCATGAAATGCTTGTATGATTGGCTTGGAACTGTTTTACATACAATCCCAGGGAGAGCACAGAAAAAAAAATGCAGGAAAACTGCCTACCAGTTCTTAAAAGATTATCCTCAATAGAGCAAACTCGGACAACTTCAGAAGTCCAAATACTGTCAACTAAGCATCCTTTGACTTCAGGAGTGAACCCAAAGACATCTTGATTGCATCAATATTCTCCTAGTACATGTATTTGAGTTATTTGACAACAAGATCAATCATTTTCCTAAAGACAATGGTAATATCAAATGCATGAATGTAGAATTGGTCACCCTAAATGTCAGTGCAACTTAGGGCCTATATTTATGTATGAATACCTGTGCTTTAGTTATATTTTCATAGGAACTCCTCCCTTCAGAGTTAGTGCGTCAAATATTGAAGATATAAAGAATGTAACCTTAATGTATATAAATTAACATATGACGTAGGTATATTTTGCAAGATGAGCATAATGAAGAGAGGAAGTTTACTCTATTATTTTTTCAACTTCACAAAACTTACTTGCATTATTTAAGCAAAACTTTTCCAAAACCATTTTAACCACATGCTACCGGGGATGGCATGTCGTACATGCCAGGCCCACTGTGTTTTATTTAGTAATTATTTATACATATAGATGACTCCACAGGTACTAAGTCACCAATAAGCCAGTTATGAGAACGGCTTGTCTCACCTGTTTACCCTTTTCCTTGATTTTTTATATTTTCTGGTAATTAATACTGCTGTTTGTAATGTCAATAACATTATAGTAATTGTGATGTCATGATGTTTATGATGAAAAAAGACTTTCCCGCAAACTCAAGGAAAGGTGAAATCAGGTGACTCCCTTGTGGCTAAGCACTTGCAGAGCCATCTATGGGCAGAGACATTTAATAAAGCAATACTAAAGTGAACACAACATTTTCCCAGGGGCTTTGGGTTAATATGCAGTGAGAAAGTTTGTATTCTTTATATTCAAGACATGAAAATAAGGGATAAAGGTTATCTATTCATTTCTTAAAATGCATATTTTTATGTGTAGATCTTGAACCTATACAGACTGCCTACAGTTTTAATTCAGGGAAGTTCCATTTAGCAAAGAAACTAGAACATATAATTGTAACCTTAAAGAAAACAGTACACTACTTCTTAACAGTTCTAGTGCACTTTCCACTTGGAGAAGATAAGAGATCAAATGTTTAATTGTCTGACTCATTTCAGTGGAATATAGTATGTCTTTTTATGTCTAATATTCTGAATCTTGAGACTATCTTTTCATCATATTGAGTCTTATCAGTGATAAGGATTGCAAAATCTCATATCCATCACATGACTTGGTTGTCATTTATATTGTAAGAAATATACATCAAACATTTTATGTGCTGATTCATGGAAAGGGATAGCTTTCTTGCTAGATATCAAGCCTTTGTTATCACTGATACCTATCATGTAGGAGAAGTAAGGAAACTCAACTGAACTTCTGCTACAACTTTCTTCTCTTTCCACCACAATAAACAACACAGTACATATATAACAAGACAGGAAACATTTAGTATCTCATTTGGCTTC